AAAATTCTAAAGTGGACTTCTAGGCTCTTCTGGTTTTATTTTTATTTTTTGACAGTCTGTGTGGCCCCTACAGGGTCCCAGGGGCAGGAAATTGAGCCTCCCTCCGACAATATTGCAGTGGCTCACTTCAGATTTAGGGCGATATGGCTTTCCACTGATGTACGCTCCCCTCAAAAGACTTCAGCATTACTGGCCACTGTGCCACATCTGGACCAGGAAGAGTCACAGCAGTAGAAGAAGAGTACAGTATATTCAGAAAAGACTTAAGGTGCATCTGCACTGCAGAAATAATGCAGTGTGACACCACTATTAATTGCTTGGCTCCATCCTACAAAACCCTAGGATTTGTAGTTTGCTGAACAGTTTGCACTAACACTCTGACAGAAAAGATTAAAGACCTTGTAAAACTAGAAATCCCAGGATTCTACTGGATGGAGCTACAGCACTTAAAGTGGTGACAAATTGTGTTATTTCTACAGTGCAGATGCACCTTTACCCTTTAAAAAATACTAAGGAGAGAAAGAAGGCAATACCCCTCCCTCTATCTGAGAAGGGAAGGACACACAATTCAGCAGCAGATGGCTGGTTTATAGTCCCAAAGTAACAGGTTCAACTCTGGCTTGCTTCAGTCAAAGGATCGAGAGCAGTTCTAAGAGGGACCACTTCTCTGTAGACCTTGGACTACAACTCCCACAATCTACCAGCCAACATGGGCAGTGTCTGTGTTTTGGAGGGACCCTCAGCTGCTTCTCAAGTGAGAGAAAATGGACTTAATTTCTGACCTGGCTGGATAAACCCTATCAGGAATCTTAGGGGTACTTCTTTTTGTCTCGCACAATTATAGCACTTTGATCCCACTCTAACTGTCATGGCTGCATTGTATGGAATGCTGGGATTGGTAGTTTCATGAGGTATTTAGAATTCCCAGCAATAAAGTTCTAGTGCCTCACTACAAACCCCAGGATTTTCAGGATGCAGCCATAACACTTAATGTGAAACCATAGTGGTACAATTATGTAGCATGATAGTGACCTCTGTTACAACTTGTTTTCTTTTTAAAGCTGGACTATGGATAGGTTGTGACGAGAGTGTACTGCCATTTCTGTTAAAAACAAGAATAGGGAGGCATGAGGAAAGGAGAGGGAAGAAGGACTTTGAGGGAGAAAGGAAATTTAGAAATAAAATAATATAAAATAGCACCAGGCTAGATCAATCAGTGACCTGAAACATTATACAGTCAGCCCTCCATATCCATGGACTTTTTCATCCATGGATTCACTCATCCACAGCTTGAAATATCTAAAAAATGTATAAATTCCAAAAAGCAAACCTTGATTTTTCCATTTTATATAAGGGACACCATTTTACTATGCCATTGTATATAACAGGACTTGAGCAGGTACAGATTTTGGTATTCATGGGGATCCTGGAACCAAACCCTAGCGGATACCAAGGGCCCACTGTAGGGCAAGTTCATACAGTTGTGGACCAAAAGCTTCTTGCGCTCCAACTTCTTGTCCCCTGTCATGAAGATTTAGAGGGAATTCAGCATAAAAACACACATGGGGTCAGTTATTTGGAGCAAGACTGTGTGTGCAAAATCCTTTTGTACTGATCTATCCGGCCAGTGGAATGCAGACTGAAAGCAAAGCTCCCTGAAAGCAACGGCCCTTTCACACAGAGCCGATCCCTGACGAAGGTCATAAATCAGTGCAATGTTATTTCTGGCCCAGCGTGAGCGCACAGAGAGTGGCCCCAAAGCCACAGCTCAAACAACTCTCTTTTTTCTGTTTGGCGGGTGACATTATCCAGGATTCCAGGCCTCCAAAACCCCAAGCATTTCCTGTTTACGCTGCTGAGCAGGAAGCACATCTCCAAAGGGGTAGCAGATACATTTGCTCTCATCAGACCTTTGGGATGCTTATGGATCTTTGTCCAGTTTGGCCACTGCAGGCAGGTGAGTGATGTGCTCTCTCTCCTGGCCTTTGGCTCCTCCAGGTCTATCTTGAATGCAGCAGCTGCTCTCAAGAGGCAGAGCCATGATGCAAGAAAACACCAAACACAATGCCCAAAGCCCACATTTCCTGCGTGCAGCTTCCTTATCAGCGGCCCTGTCCTGGAACATACCAGCTGGGACGTAAGCAATGCTTTATGGCACTGGCATAACAGAAAAAAGAAAAGAAAGAGAGGAGGGAAGGCAAAACCTCTAGGGCCATGGAGAGAAAGATGTCAAGACCTACAAAAGCAGTGTGAGTATTTATTGCTAGAGAGGAGAAAAGGAGGAAGCAGCATTCAAGGCCACCCAGATGACAAGCTTTTGGCTTACTCTCTTTAGCATTAAACAAAAACAAGCCCAAGCACCCCTGAGTAGATTTATTTCTCTTTATCTTTCCCTGCCCTAGACTCTCCTACTTGCCTTCTGATGGTCAAAATTCAGATTATAAGCTTCTTGGGGCATGGAAATGGCTTGCCTCCTTGCATCACTCTATAATGGTACTTTATGTGCAATAACAAAACACCAGCAATACAGCAGACTGGCCAAAGGAGACCAATGCTGCATCTATACTGAGAAATAATCCAGGTTGACACCACTTTAACTGCCATGGCATAGTGCTATGGAATTCTGGGAATTGTAGTTTTGTGAAGCATTCAGCCTTCTCTGTCAGAGAGTTCAGATGTCACAACAGACTACAAATCTCAGAACGCCATACGATGGAGCCATGACAGTTAAAGTGGTGTCAAACTGAATTACTTCTGCAGTGCAGATGCAGACCAAGTGGAATTTTTGTAGAAAGAACATAGGAAGTTGCCTTATTCTGAGTTAGACCCTTTGTAGTCCTTCTTGCCTAGTGCTTTGTAATTTTCCCTGGCAGCAACAGAATGCAGATGGATTGATTCGATCAAGAAGCCATGGCTACTGCCTTGAGTTTGCAAGACCTGAGCAAGGCTGTTGATAACAGGGTGTCTTGGGAGGTCTCTCATTCATACGGTCATCATAAGTTGAAGCTGACATGATGGCAAATTAAAAGAATGGCTCTCCAGACAGAATGCTGTCGGTTGAACCTGGGGCTGTCTCCACAGAAACACAGGAAGCTGACTTACGTACATTTATCCAGGCCATTGGTCCATCTAGTTCAGCAGTGTTAGCTCTGATGGGCAGCAACAGCTTGCCAACGTTCTGGACAGATTTTTCCCTAGACCTAACAAGAAATGAACAGGCTGCTTATCTGCCAGAGTGCATTCCTGCTCTCTTATTCCCTTGGTTTTAATCCAGAATAGTGTTGTTAGGGTTGTTTTTTAAAAGGTACAAGATATTCCCCACTAACAAGGTTGTCAAATCGTGTCCGATCATAGAGGGTGGTGCTCATCTCCATTACTAAGCCAAAGATCCAGCATTGTCAGAGACTACTCTGTGATCCTCATGAATACACAGAATGTTGTCTACCTTCCCACTGAAGTGGTACCTATTTATCTACTTGCATTTACATGCTTTCAAACTTCTAGGTTGGTAGAAGCTGGGACTAGAGACAGGAGCTCACCTCGAACTGCCAACCTGCCGATTTTGCAATCAACAAAGTCAGCGTCTTAACCACTTGAGCCACTGCAGATTGTTTT